CGCTAGTCGAGACCGCTACAGGTTAAGCCTGCTACGCTAGTCACTGACCGCTACAGGCTCTAGCCTGCTACGCTAGTCGAGACCGCTACAGGTTCTAGCCTGCTACGCTAGTCGAGACCGCTACAGGTTCTAGCCTGCTACGCTAGTCGAGACCGCTACAGGTTCTAGCCTGCTACGCTAGTCGTTGGCCATCCTAGTCTGGCAGAGATGGAAAATTGATAAATGCTCGTGCGACGGCAAGCCTGGGATGCGTAAAGGACGATTCCTCGTTGGTTTTTATACTTGGAGTGTGTATACATTCGCTTTCCCTCGGTAAAAGTGTTTTGAGCTTTTACGTCATGGGAACTGCAACTCGGAACTGGCACTTGGTCCGAAAGCGTACTTGGTTGCTATGAAGCGCATCTCGCGGAGGGCCCCTTCTTGTTGCGGGCGTCGCCAGCTCTCTACCGTAAGTGATCGAGGTTAAACTAGAGCACCCCCTGACCTACCATGGGCCCATAAACTGTCTGTGGACCCTTGGACGTACTAACCGTCTAGGTAAGTAGCAATCCCACTCAGTATTCGATGTCTACTCCACCTGCATTTAAGGACGCTGGTACTGCACGCCCTCCGACTTCGCCACACCATGACGCCTGCAGCCATAAGCTTCAACGACTGGATCGCTTCTTCGAGCTAGAGACGCAGGTGCTGGACGAGCACAATGGGCGCTAAAACTAGCATTTAGCAGGAGCAACAACCTGTTTTGAAACAGTGTTTCAAGCGACCTTCGATATTCGACTGCGATCCTTGGGAGACGAGATCGGCAGCGATGGAGCTCGAGCAGGACCTCAAAGAGCATGGCGTCGACGTCGTCTGCTCCAAGATGGACTCGGTCATCAGCATGCGCGCGCATGGCGCGACGGGCAAGCGCCTCGTAGAAACACTTCGGCTCATGGACAAGTACGTTGCACTCAAGGTCACCAAGCTCGTCAAGGCCTGCGCCGACCACATCTACTGCGACCCGTGCTTCGGCCCGAACGACGCCGACCCGTCGGGTGCGCGGGCGCTTTGCAAGAACGGCGACGTCAGTCCTTTACGCCAATCTCGCGCTGCTCATCCGCGTCCTAGGTTGTCCCGTCCAAGGGCGGGTCCCAGCACCAGGCCAAGGTGCTCAAGCTGCTCAAGGAAGACAAGTTGCGCTGGGAGCGGCCGCGGTACGCAACGGCAACCCAGAACGTGCTTGAAGAAAGCGACGAGTCCGAGTACGTGCGCGCTCTTCGCCCTAACAATGCTCACGCCGGCCACAGAAGCAGCAGCCGCCGCCTCCTCGACGA